AAGGCAAATCATCTGGATGAAGGAGCCCATCAGCTTCAGCCATACTGGGTCCCTACCCACATGATTGTGCATGCTTTGCTTACAGTGGAGGAGAAACCTCTGTTTCGCTGCGATTGGGGACTGTGGTATTGCCTGGTCACATGCAGGGGAAGGACACTTCCTTTTTGGGTTCCAAACAATCTGAGATTCACTCCAAATGTAATCTCCTTCTCCCCATTGTTAGGGCTGTGGCTCCGATCGTAACCCAGGCTGATTCTATCGGACTTTGTGCCCAAGGCAGGCTTCTGAATTGTGTACACTACAATCTCGAAGCAATGTAGATGAGTTTCTATAGGCTTAATGAGTGTGCATGAACCGTCCCTTACATACAAGCAAGATTGCTGCTTACACACCCATCTGAGATCTGGAGACCTGTCAGGACGTCACTGCTCTGCAGGGTAATCTAGAGACTCTTGAACAAAAACGGAGCCACACCCATACCTGCTAGCTCTCAGCTCTCAAGTACTTCCTGCTAATGTGTGGGGGCTTCAGAGATGTTCTTGAGAAAATGAAAATAAAAAAGAATGGATTTTTTCCCCTACAAGCTTCTAAAAACGCCCATATTGGTCGGAGTGATGTTTTTAAACTAGAGCAATGTGGTGTGTGTGTGTGTGTGTGTGTGTGCCATTTACTCAAAATCTTACTCTTAAACTAGAGCAATGTAGTGTGTGTGTGTGTATATATATGTACTATACACACACACACACACACACACACATATATATATAAGTGCCATGTACTCAAAAATCTAACAAAAAATGTATGAAGGAAAGTGAGTTTCCAACCATGGTTTAGGAATCACGGCTTCTTTCTTTTCTTCCTTATGGTAGTTTGCTGTTGAGACAGGAATTTCTTTTTACCAGAACAACAGAAATGACTTTTAAAAAAAGCATTTCTATTTTGAGGTTCAAAGAGATCATTTTCATTCAACCCGTTTTGGGAAATTCCCTTTGGCCCTTTGCCCACCTGACCAGCTCTGGACAAATCTTCCTCCCTCCTTCCTCTCTCCTACAAGATCCCCTGCCCAGGCTGTTGGTGGGCTGGGGCCGCCGGTGGGGGCACCCACACTTCTGTTCCTTCTTGTTCTCCTACCTGTCCCGAGAATTTCTGGGGAATATCTATCCCCTCGTTTGGTCAGACGAGGAGAGAAATCAGTCTCTATAGCTCCGGCCTTGGCCTTGGTTGTAAGGCATTTTGGATGCCTGGTTTTGAGGAGCTCTGGTGGCACCGTGATGAAAGCACTCGCTTTATCAAAAGGTTGGGGGTTCTAAACCTTCAAATGTCCCCCGGGAGAAAGACAACCTTGAAAACGTTCCTTTGTCCTACAGGTTCACACACTGTGAATCATCATTGGCTTATCAGCTCTGGGTTTTGTTTGAACACCTAGGCACACACCCAGTTACCTAGTTAGAGAATATTTCTGAAACGATACTAAATTTCTGGGAACAGTGGGGGCTTCCGGGGAAAGGAACTGGTAGCTGAGAAACAGAGATGAGAGGAAGATTTATTCTTTATTTGGTACCTTTCAAATGTTGTATTATGCTATGAATTTTCCATTGAGTGAGGGGCTGAATAAAATGAGAGACAGGGAAACACGCTTTGCGGTTTCAATTTGCAGTAGCCTCCCGTGATCTTACCACACTTCTGTAGCTCTGCACCAACTGGTTTCTTACAGAGATGAGCCAGTTCACCTGCGAAACAGAAGAGTCAGATTCTTCTCCCGGGCACTGTGGAAATGAAGTGTGAGAAGCCACTGGTATCAACTGTAGACCCCACCTCTTGTTCACCAGTGCATGATTCCACACAAGTGTTGAAACAACGGTGCTCTGTGCAAGGTGCCAGTTTAGTCACTGAATGTTTGGGCCCTGGGATAATCCTATCCCTGTTTTTAAGGCACAAGGGACCCAAGAGGGCCTACTCAGAAGAATTAGGATTTCTAAGAGGAGACCTGCATTCCTCGTTCTATCCCCATGCACAAGTACTCGCTAAACAAAATCTAAAAGCCAGAGCGTTTCCCTATTTCCTGAACTTGTGCCACTCTCCACCAATAGCTTAAGCTTCAAATTATTTTTCTTCTGCATTATGCTTACATCCAATCCATCAGAAAACCCAACGGATCTCCCTTTAGGTGTGTACCCCTCAGTCCCCCTCCTCCATGAAGGACAGGGTGTGGTGAAACTTACAGGCTTTGAAGACAACCTCTGGAGCAAGTTGCCTTCGGTCAAGTTCCTACTGTCGTGAAAGCTCAGCCAGCGAAAGCCTGTTCGGTTCTTACGTAGTAAGAATTCTGCCGATGAGCAGTTAGTTTTTCTCCTTTTAATAGATGGCTTGGGTTGGCTAACATGCCGCAGCCACTGAATTGGTGTTAGGTCCGGTTGGATTGATTCTGAATTAGAATCACCCTACTTACAACAAAACAAAACACTGCGTGGTCCCGTACCGTCTTCACCAGCATCGCTGTGTTTGAGGCCATTGCTGAAGACAGTGTTCCAGTCCAGCTTGTTGAGAGCCTTTCTTGGGGTTTTTGGGGTAACTTTACCAAGCATGATGTTTCTCCAAGGTCTGATCCCTATTGGCGACATGTCCAAAGTGTATGAACACTGAGTCTTACCATCCTCACCGCTAAGTAATAGTATAGACGTACTTCTTTCAGGATTTGCTTGTTCTTTGTGGCTGTTCATTCCGTACTCTTCACTAGTACTGTAATTCAGGGGCATGGGCTTTCCCTTCCTCTTCCGTATTCCTTTTCCAGCTTCCAGTGCACGTGGGGCGATGGGAAAGACTGTGGCTTGGGCCTCGTGCACCCTAGTCCTCACAGTGACATCTTTGCTTTTTAACATTTTAGAGAGACCTGTTGCTGCGGGTTTGCCTGATATGCCATTTGATTTCCTGACTGTTGCTTCCATGGTGATGCTTGTGTGAGACCTGCGGTGTGGACTGTAAGGGTGAATGGTTGAGTGGTAGCGCCATTTGGAGTAATTTTGACTTTCTTTATCTCTTTACCCACTTCCAATGGATCATCAAAGTTTACCAAATCATACTTCAGCAAAGACTTTCAAACCCAGTGCTTCTTGGACATTTCCACGGCTAGACAGGGGCTCAATCCTCTCTTCCCCAGACTTTTAAATCTCTACTGCATTTCTGCCTTCAATCTACCCACCAGATTACCATTTAAAAACAAATCTGTTCAGGCCATTGCTCTCCTATAGACTGAGAAGAAAGATTTCTAAAACTGACTGTGGTAATGATTACACAACTCTTCTTAATGTGACTGAACTACTGGATTGTGTGGTGTGTGAGTTATGCACCAATAAAGCTATTTTAATAAAAGAAAGTGGAAACAACCTACATGCTCATGAGTGGAAGACTGGATGAATAAACTTTGGTGCGTACGCACAATGGAATAACGAGGAAACTGTGAAGCACCTCATGACATGGAAGGACTTAGAGGACATTATGCTGAATGAGGTCAGTCAAATGCAAAATATTGTATGACACTACTATTATGGGAAAAAAATCAAGGAAAGGGTTTTATACCAAAAGAAACAGACTTTGATGGTTACCAGGGTAGAAGGGGAAGGGAGGAAAGCGGAGAGCCATAGGCTAGAGCAGGGGTTCTAAACCCTCCTCAGGCTGTGGCCCCTTAAAGATAATTCCTCATGTGGTGGTGACCCCCAACCATAAAATTATTTTCATTGCTACTTCATAACTGTAAGTTTGCTATTGTTATGAATCGGGAGACCCCTGTGAAAGGGTTGTTCAGCCCCCAAGGGGTCACGACCCACAGGTTGAGAACCACTGGGCTAGAGGGAGCCAGTTGTTAACTTGGTGAAAGGGAAGCTCATATCCTATAGAGTGGGAGATGGAAGAAAGGGAAAAAAGGGTGGGAAACAAGGCAAGCCATTGGGAGACGTGAGAAGTTGTTTAAGTTGTTGAGTTAAAAAATGATGATCTGTTATGTAAACTCCCACCTGATGCATAATATAAAGTTTGGGAGGAGAAATAAAAAAGAAACTCAGGCAGAATGCTGAGTGATGATAATGGAAGATATTGCAGTGATGCAGCTACAAACCAAGGAATTCCAGTTTGATGACCACCTCCAGAAGCTAGGAAAAGGCAAGGAAGGATTTGCTCTCCTGTTTTTGATGGACATTGGCCTTGTAGATATCCTGATCTTGACTTTTAGCCTGCAGAACAGTGAGAAAATATGATTGTGTTGTTTTGAGCCATCCAGTTTGTGAGACATTGTTTTAGCAGCTGTGGGGAGCAAATAACACCGGAGGTAAACTTTGTTCAAAACGCTTCCCATTCATTGGTGTTGGTGGGCCCATCTTGCTGGTGCCCTAGCTAATCTGTTACAATACGTACAGCCCTGGGTAGTCTAGCTCAATGGCTAATAAGACAGATTTGGCATCAGAACTGCTGGCGTTGTGGTACTGACTCTGCCACGTCTTGGCTCTGTGACCTTGGACACGTTACGGAACCTCTCTGTACTCTTTTATTTCATCTTTAAAATGTGGATTGTGATCATCACATTTACCTGAGCATTGTTGTAAGGCCAACATACAGAAAGCACTGTTCAAAATGAGCTGATTCCGGGAACCCAAGAGGCAAGTGAATTTTGGCAATGATGAGGGCAGCAAATGTATAGATGTGTTTTACACAATTGATCTATGTATTGTGATGAATTGTATGAGCCCCAATAAATTGATTTAAAAAAAAAAAAAGCACTGTTCTGGGGCTGTGGGAAGTGCTCTGGACTTGGTGAGTGTGGTATTGATGTAGACTGGGTAGACATTTGGCAATGCCCCTCTCTTCCACACTGTTAAACAACTTGAGGACAGATTCTATATCTGGTTCATCAACCCAGAACCTGGCACTGAGTGCCCACGCAGGTGATATGTATTGAATGATGACTAGCCAGCAGACAAGTAACTGTGACTCCATCAATTTTCTTGTAGACATCTCTCAGTTTCCTGGCACATCTAGAGAAACAAGACCTAATAAGTGAAGATGATCTGAAGATACTGGAGGAACTCTGCCATAATGTGGCACCTTGGCTCAAGAAAAAGATAGAGAAATATGGAAAGAAGAGTAAGTAGCTTAAGCTTGCTTGTACCAGGCTTCAGGAATTCTTAACCAACTGGCTACACATGATGTTTACGCATCATTCTGGAAGGACTCTCTTGGGACAGCCAGAAGTCTCTCTCCTTTGTTCATTCGGCACATGCTGATTGAATGCAGACAATACCAGGCAGGGGTATAGGAACTGGGGATACTGCAGGGTGGGGACAAAACAAAGCTCCTGCTCTCTTGGGACGTATTTCCTAGTGGGGGAACATAGTTTTCATCAAATGTCTTCTAATTCCTAAATAAGCATGAGAGTAGATAGGGGAGGGTGGGGTGGAAAGGGAGAACCGATTACAAGGATCTACATATAACCTCCTCCCTGGGGGATGGACAACAGAAAAGGGGGTGAAGGAAGACGTCGGACAGCGTAAGATATGACAAAATAATAATTTATAAATTATCAAGGGCTCATGAGGGAGGGGGGAGCATGGAGGGAGGGGAAAAATGAGGGGCTGATACCAAGGGCTCAAGTAGAAAGCAAACGTTTTGAGAATGATGATGGCAACAAATGTTCAAATGTGCTTGACACAATGGATAGATGGATGGATTGTGGTAAGAGTTGTATGAGCCCCCAGTAAAATGATTTAAAAAAAAGAAAGGCAGGAGAGCAGAGGGGTTAAGTGTGGGTTGTCAGGAGTCTGGCTGCCAAGACAGCTTCCTTTTCCTCACTTGCACTCAGCATGCTGTGAGCTCTCTCTTCCGCACCACGCTCTGGTTCTGCGGTGCAGTCTCGCACACAAAGCGTGGTGGCTGGCCGGGCTGAATTCACCGTTTCTGTGTGAGAAGTGTTGACCTTTGCTTCGGTGAGCCTTAAGGGCTGAGTTTTATATCCGAAGTAAGTGTTGTAATTTTCAGTCCTCGTTTGTACAACCTACCCGTTGTGTGATCTCTTATTGGGTGTTCCAGCATTGTTAATATATTTTATATGTTTGTACTTTTTGCATTACTAAGATATTAATATGAACTCTTCACAGTCCTCAGAGTTTGGGCCTAATTCTGTTTCTTGGAAGAAAGAACTAAAGGACTGATAGGGGTGGAGGTATGCAAATTTTAGACTTTAGACTTTCCTAATGAGCCATCCAAAGGCCAAGTATTAGTATCTCATTAGCACACCAGCTCTGTTTAAGGAACACCTGGTTGCTGGTCTACATTTTCTTGAACCTTATTGTTTTCAATTTACTCTTGAAAATAATGTGTTAATTCTAAAAAAATTCAGCAAAAATTTAAATAATGAAAGCAATATAGAATGCAGAAGGTAAAAGTCTCTTTCTTCTTTCCTCCCCCCACTACCACCCCATTTTCCAGAGACAGCCAATGCTTACAGAAGATTCACTGAAAAAAAAAGATTTATTGGCATATAATTCATATATCCTACAACTTAATCATGCAAACATACAGTATTAGGAAGAGTTGTGCAATCATCACCACCTCAAGTTCAGACCATTTGCTTCTCGTATTCATGGTTGTTAGTTCCCCCCACCCCCACCCCAACCTCTCCTGCCATGCCCCTAAGTCATTATAATTCTAGTTACTGTTCCTATGGCTTTACCTATTCTGGATTTTATATCAAGACAATCATACAAAACACGAACAGGAAGGAAGCAAACAAACAAACAAAACAACAACAATGACTAAAGAAACTAGAAAAAACTCAAAAAGAAGACAGAAAATATTAAAAATGGAAACACCTGTAAAAAGGGTCAAAAGGGAATCAAATGATAAGGTGTTACATTGTAACCTAACTACCTCTGCTACAATCAAGCTCCCAGTGCTCGCTGTCTGACTATGTGCAGAGGGGAGTCACCAGAGGCTTAACCTGTGTGGGGACACTGCAAATGGGCGTGTGCTGTCATCCATAGCTTTTTGTAAACCTGGTGTTCACAATTTAAGCTCTGATACCATTCCCTCCTACGGATTTCGATTTTATTATTCAAATTCCTTGGATTACACAGGCTGATGTGCTAAGGTGGCTGTTAATTTTAAGACCAGCCTTGACTATTCTTTCTGATAGCTGGGCACCATCTGGTTTCTTCATCACACTTTGCTGTAGCACCCATATCTTCAGTAGTCTCTTCATGAGGATGAACACTGGACAGGGTCATGTCAAAAGAACTTATTGTTCTTAGATTGGGGTAGAATTAAGTGTGACCCCCAAATCTATTCATATATCTATGCTTTATATATATCTCTTTTACTTTAGAGACATCATTATCATTTTATGATAGAGAACATTATGAATCATCCCTCTGGGGTACAAGGTAATTTTATTGATAGTATCATTAATTTAGCTGATGCTATAGAATTAAAAACAGGGTTGAGAAAAGGAGATTATGCAAGTGTTGGCTGGCTTCAGACTGAAATACATGAATTGTTGACTTGTACAGATTAAACTCTTAAGTGACTGGACATTGTTTACACAAACATTGCGGGCTAGTGATAGGGAAAAACTTCTAATAACACTCATTCACAAAGGCAGAACTATGCCAACCAGATTAGTACGTGTCATAAGAAAGCAATCAGGGCAGTACATTAGTATATATATGGTAGTCTTGGGCCACTGTTCATTGGGCACCCTCAGAGTAAGAGGTGCAAACCAAAGTTCTATATAAGTATTGTGAACTGTTTTTTATTTGTTTATTTATTTTTCTCAATGGGAGGTTGCTCCTCCTGGTTTCCCCCCCAACAGAAATGTAATCACCTTCCTCGGGACATACATGTGTCTCTTCCCCAACTTGA